GAGAGAGAGAGAGCGAGACAGAGAGAGAGAGAGAGAGAGAGAGAGACAGAGAGCGAGAGCGAGAGAGAGAGAGAGAGAGAGCGAGAGAGAGAGCAGATACAGACACAAGTACAGAGAGAGAAAGATAAGTAAATGTAATCCAAACTTCCATTTTCCACTTGGCCCTCAGAACGTTTTATTTCCTTCTCCTTTTCTTCCAGTTTGATTAACTTTGGTCTTCCTTCCTTCCTTCTTTCTTTTCCTCCCTGTCTACGTCTGTCTACTGTTCACCCTTCGTTTTTCTCGGTCCCCTCCTTATCCCCCCCCCCCCCCCCCCCCTCCTCACACCCCCAAAAGCCATTCCCAGCATTTGTCTGTGTGTCACCTTGTTTGTCTCTCCTTCTTTCCCGCTCCACTCCCCTTCATCTTGTATGCTACAGACTTCAACATAAGTTAAGGACCACTTGCAAACACTCTGAGTGGTCTTCTTGGGTCCACCTGCGTGTGGGCGTTCTTGGACTGATCCAGTTGCTTGATGGCGCGGCCTCAGGCGGACAATGACAGAGTGTGACACTGCGAGCCTTCTGGTAACATCTCGGGCTCCAACTCCATCCTGCAGCCATGCCATAGCTCTGGCACGATCAAAGTCTCTCAGCTTTCGTCTTGGTGGTATGTTGATGCGATACTGGATTTTGCGCAAACGGCGGCTTTTATTGCCTCCAAAGTGAGCACAGTTAGAGACCAAACGTCCGTTTATCACGTGCACCAGAAACTTTAACTGAGGAATGTCCCTGGCGTCGCACACAAGTCGATAAAAAACAGCAAATTTGTCTAAAATTCCCCGAAGAATTCCGTGAACCACGTGATGGTTTTGCCTTTTTAGGAAGCTTTGCAGTACACGTTGGTAACCCATTAACACTTTCAGAGCAAAAACATTTTTGAAACATTCCTTGTTGTCTTTTTTTATGGATTAAAAAAAATCAGGGCTGTTTGTCAAGGTGGTCCTTAACTTATGTTGAAGTCTGTATGTCCATCCCCTTTTTATTTTCTTTACAGTGGCCAAGTGAGTAGTCAATTCAGACTCCAAAAACGGGGGCTCTCGTGGCCAAGAGGTTGAGGTGTTGGCCTCTCATTCAAAGGTCCCGGGGTCGAATCCGGGTAGCGACCGAAAAATTTTCTTCTCTAAAATTGTCTCCTTTCCCCTCCTTTCCTGCTCTCTAGCAATGTTTTGTCGTCCACTTTCGTCTCCACTTTCTGCCCCCACCCCCTCACCTCCTTTGCCCCCTCCTCTGGGCTCCTGACTCTTTCTGCAGCCTTTCTACCATTACTCCTGGCTCCTTCTTACTGCTGTCTTTCAGACAAATCCCTGATCTTCTGGTAGGAAAGATCTACACCTAGCCTTCTCGGACAAGGGTGAAAAATCCTAGAGGGTCCGTGTGCAGGTTGTTCACGTTAAAGATCCCTTGGTGGTCTAAAATCGAAAAGAGTAGGCTTCGGCCGCCACCCGGGCAAAATTCAAAATGCCCTACCAACTGAAAAAGTTTAATGTGTCCCCCGCACTCATATGACCTTATGCAGTTGCGAGCGCCGTAAAACTCTTACCACAAAAAAAGACTGGGAAACAATGTCAAGCAGGTCTTGTCAGTGACAAGGGATTTATACTGGTGGTCTTTGCCCGGGTGGTGGCCAAAGCTTACTCTTGCCGATTTTGGACAACCAAAGGATCTTTAACGTGCGCAACTTGCACTCGGGACCTCCGAGATTTTTCGCCCTTATCAGGAGAAGGGAAACGTAGCTTTTTTTTAGAGCACCCGAGCAAAGGAATGAGCGGAGAACCATGATCGCCGATGTCTGTCGTAGATCTGGCATTGGATGGTGATGACGATTACGAGAAGGCTAAGTATTAGATCGTACCTGCCCTAACATTAGGGGTGTGGCTGAAAGACAGCAATAAAAAGGAGCCATGGAGTAGCAGTAGACAGGCTGCAGAAAGAGTCAGGGGCCCAGAGGAGGGGGCAAAAGGGGGTTGGGGTGGGGGAAGAAAGTGAAGACGAAAGCAGACGACAGAACATGGCAAGAGAGCAGGGAAGGGAGCGAAAAGAGAAAATGTCAAAGAAGAAAAGTGTCCTCGATTTGGACACGGATGTTTTTCACCCCCTCCTACCCACCGAGCAGTAATGGGTACCTGACTTCGAGTTGGGGAAGTAAAGGCGGCGTGGAAAGGAACTGGCCACCCTACCACAATATGCAGAAGGCCCAGGAAGTTGTCTCACTAACAAGGCAATCGCCAATGTCCGGATCGGATGCGGGAACAACTTTTTACTTATATTTTATGTGTGTTTCCCTGTGTAATCAACTTTTCCGCATGGGCATCAATAACGTGTAATTTATTGTACTTATTTATTCATCTGTCTTCAGATCCTTCCCCTCTTCCTATTCCTCATGCTCTATCTTCTCCAACTGTTCATTAGATATGTAAGGGGAATGCCAGACTGCGACCACACAACGGGGAGAGTACGTGCACGTTGAAAAGCTGTAAAGGGAAATAACAAAGAAAATAAGTCAACTTTCACATAGTATTTCTCGTTTACTTCCCCTGGTTAATGTACTAGAACGTCAACAAAGAGAAAAAAAGGGACCTTGATAGTAGCAAAGATAGTACAGCCTACCGTAGGGTGTAGTATCTTTGATAGTAGTACTTGGAGAAGCCCACGGAGACCGCCCCTTGATGGAAATATTGGGAAGAGAAAAATGCAGTTTCTTGGACACTTGAATTGACCACAATTTCCATGAACGACATTTATCACTTATTAACAAAATTGAAGGCCACGAGAGCCCCTTTGAATTAGCTGGGACAGCGTGCCGACAGGTGGGAAATGAGCTTTAAAAATAACAGCCAGTTTGCAGTTGTTGTTTTTTTTATTCAGTAGATGTTTTACGGCACTATCGACACAATTTGCAGTTTGTGTTGACTTCCACAGCTCGAGTCAGAAGAAAGAGATGTTTGCTTTCCTCTGAGGGCAAAATGTCTCCCTTGCCAGATGGAAGAATCGACTGCAAGTTCTATCAAGATAAAGTATTGAGATGAATGTTCTGATCAAACACGTAATGTGGGTGGTTGGCGGGTGCTCTGGTGTGGTTTGCTTCTTCTTTCCTATGAAACATCTATCGTTCTTATCTCCCCTTCTTCTTTTTTTATGTTTGTTACTCTCTTGTAACACCTCTAATCTTCTGGCGCTCATATGACCTTGTGCAGTTGTGAGCGCCGTAAAACCTCTACTAAAACTTTAAAAAACACGAAATGTGAAAATTAGTTTCGAAGTTTGTAAAGGAAAGTAAGACTGAAATAATCCGTGGTTTAGAAGTTATCGCCCGTTTTCTTCCCTTGATTGAGTCTTTCAATCATTGTAAAGGGAACGATGGCCTGTTTTGGAAACAAGAGAGAGTGTGTGTGTGGGGGGGGGGATGGGTGAAGTATGTAGACTTTCCATAAAGCAAAATGGTTTTTTTCTTGGAAACTGAACCAATATTATCTACTGCCTGTCTGATTAGAACAACATAACAGTTTGGTCAAGTGATCAAGAAATGTGTATAATTCTATAAATAAATAACTTCACAGAACAAACTTTACATTCTAGAATCTTACATTTTTGTAAGAGTTTTACCTCATTTGCAACACAATAAGGTCCGATTAGAGATGTTATAACAGAAATAACAAACACAAAAAGAAGAAGGAGCAAACCACACCAGAGCTCCCGCCCACATTCCACTGACAATCTACGACTTAACAAAAGTAAATACCACATAATATGTCAAAATAGTTCTTTATTCTGTTTTCAGAATTACGTAACAATGTAGTTACCACATATGGACAGATAAAAAGAAGATTACATTTTTCAACATTGCAAGTAGATCTAGATACTATATATGGGCATAATATAATCAACACATCTTTATTCAGTTATTCAAAACAGCATGTATTTCGACCCGCCAACTTCTTCCTGAAAACGTGTTCATGAGAGAGAACAACTTCAACAAGTATAATATAATTCGTGCCATTCAGAGCATGATGTGTACATAGCTGCATTTTAAAAAAATGTATTTTCAACACATAATATTGTAGTCATACATCAGAAGTGGGTATACATTTCTGTAAACCACGCATTACAAACACGAACACTTGAGAGCAGACAGCTCAGCTAAGACTTTGAACTGAAAACTGCATGTGTATCAGAAACTCTCTGATGTGGATCTGTTTATTTTTGTGCAACAAAACGTCCCTAAAAACACGCATGTAGATCACACCACACATGTAGATCACACCACACATGTAGATCACACCACACATGTAGATCACACCACACATGTAGATCA